ATTGTAAATAGCTTGAGGTCAGGTGATTATTTTCCAGTCAAACAGAAAATGAATTAATCAGTGAAGTTAGGTTTCTGTGGTTTCATTTTTTGTAAAAGTCTCAGCTGACTGATCAGAGCTGCAGTTTCATCTGCAAATGATAAAAAGCTGTTTTAATCTACAATAAATCCTTCTTTTATAATCAGTAAAAGTTTTGTTTTTCTTTTTTATAGGTTGTTGGAGAAAGAGTTTTATTTTTGCTTTTTGTTTCTAGTTATCCACCAGCCATGACAGACTCTACGGCAGACTTACGCCAGACTCTGTTGGAATTAAATGAGCTGAGACAGGCACTTCTGTAAGTTTCTAAAGATTAATCATTTAACATTAAATAAGTTTAAAAACAAAACAAGATCTAATTATGATTAAATTGCACTTCAGATGATTCTTTTCAGTTTTGTTTGTTTAAATTATTTGTCCAAACGTACATTACAAAACACTCCATATTAGGGTGTGTGGGGACAATTAAACTAATTTCTTTTGATTACGTATGAATCTAAACACATTTTTAAGAATAAAAATAACAATTTCCATTCATTCATCATCTTCCGCTTATCCTAAGTCAAGTCGCAGGGGCAGCAGCTTAAGTAGGCAAGCCCAGACCTCTCTTTCCCCRGCCMCMKCTTCCAGCTCTTCTATGAGGACTCCAAGGTGTTGCCAGGCCAGCCGAGAGACATAGTCTCTCCTGTGTCCTGAGTCTTCCTCAGGTCTCTTGCCAGTTGGACATGAAAGAAGCACCCATAGGGAGGCGTCCAGAAGGCATCCTTATCAGATGCCTGAACCACCTCAACTAGCTCTTCTCAATGTGGAGGAGCAGCGGCTCYACTCAGTCTTTTTTAGATAACTGAACCTTTCACTCAATCTCTAAGAAAAAGTCCATTATACTATGTAGAAAACTCATTGCAACCACTTGTATCAAYRATCTTGTTCTTTTGGTCACTACCCAAAGTCCGTGGCCTTAGGTGATGTAGGAGCATAGACCGACTGGTAAACAGAGAGCTTTGCCTTACAGCTCAGCTCCCTCTTCACCACAACAGACCGGTACAGAGTCTGCAAAACTGCAGAAACTGCACCGATCCACCTATCAATCTCATGCTCCATTCTTCCCTCACTCGTGAAGAAGACCCCAARATAGTYGAACTCCTCCACTTGAGGCAGAACTTCACCCCCTACTCAGAGAGAGCAATCCACCCTTTTCTAACTGAGGACCATGGACTCAGATTTAGAGGTGCTGATCCTCATTCCAGCCACTTCACTCTTCACTGCAAACCACTCCAGGGAGAGCTGAAGATCTTGGCACGATGATGCTAACTGAACCACATCATTTACAAACAGCAGAGATGGATTCCTGAGGCCACCAATCAGCCCTGGTGGAGTCTGATGAACTCACACTCTGCTAAAGGGGTCTGACTTACTACCAGCAATGTAAACCAAACTCTTGCATCACTTGTATAGGGACCCACAAACTCATTCACATAGCACCCCCACAGTGTACCTTAGGAAATATTGTTGAATACCAAGTCTACAAAACACATGTAGACTGGATTAGTAAACGTCCATAACCCCTCAAGGATCCTAGTGAGGGAAAATAGTTTGTCCAGTGTTCCATGGCYAGGACAGAACCTGCATTGTTCCTCCAGAATCTGAGATTTGACCATCAGTTGGATTCTCTTCTCCAGTACCCCTGAAAAGATTTTACCTGGGAGGCTAAAGAGAGTGATGCCCCTGTAGTTGGAGCACACCCTCCGGTCCCCTTTTTAAAGAGGGGAACCACCACGCCAGTCTGCCAATCTAGTGGCACTGCCCCCCAATGTCCATGCGATGTTGCAAAGGCGTGTCAACCAGGACAGCCGCATAACATCTAGAGCCTTGAGGAAATCAGTGCGGATCTTGTCCATCCCTGGAGCCCTGCTGCTGTGGAGCTTTTTAACTACCTCAGCAACCTCAGCCCCAGTTATGGACAGAACAACCCGAAGTCCTCAGACTCTGCTTCCTCCATAGGAAGATGTGCCAGTGGGATTGAGAAGGTCCGGGAAGTATTTCTTCCACCTCCAGACAACATCACTGGCTGAGGTCAACAGCACCGCACCTTCACTAAACACAATGTTAGTAAAGTGCTTCTTCCCTCGCCTCAGCCACCAGAAGGTTTGTCAGAATCTCAAAGTATCCACTGCAGAGTTCAAGGATGTGAACCGTAAGAACCATCGACAACTTTGCAGCCAAAGCTCCAGGCAGCCGCTTCAACAGTTGGGGTGCAAAACATGGCCCACTCAGGCTCATTGTCCTCTGYCTCAGCWGGGATGTGGTTGAAGTTCTTTTAGTGGTGTGAGTTGAAGGTCCTTCTAAAGAGTTCTTCTGCCAGGTGCTCCCAGCCAACCCTCACTACACATTYAATCTAATTTCCCTTTGGGATCAATAAAGTATTTTTGAACTAAATTAAATGGAATTGAACAGAACTGAATTTGGGTCTACTGAGTCAGAGATGCCGATCCTCCTAATCACACCCCTCCAGATCACACTGTTATTACCCACGTGAGCATTGAAGTGCCCCAACAGAATAAAGGAGCCTCTAGCAGGAGCAACTTCCAGCACCCCTGCYAGAGACTCCAAGAAGGCTGGATACTTCAAACTGCTGTTTGGTGCATAGGCACTCAGTGCTCATCCACCTGCTCGAAGGTGCAGGGAAACCACCCTCTTATCTGCTAGGGAAAACTCCAACACACAGGCACCAAGTCAGGGGGGCAAAAGCAAACCAAAACCAGCTCGGCGCCTCTCACCATGGGCAGCTCCAGAGTAGAATAAAGTCTCTCAAGTAGATCAGTTCTGGAGCCCATGCTGTGCGTTGAGCCCAACTATGTCTATCTGGTACCTCTCAACCTCATGCACAAACTCAGGCTCCTTCCCCACCAGAAAAGTCACATTCCAAGTCTGAAGAGTCAGCTTTGGTATAGGCCAGGGTCAGTGCACCATGGTACCCACCCCTGACCACTGCATAACATCATGCACCCAACTCATACGGTCCCTACTTCAGGTGGTGAGCCCACAGAAAGGCAAACCCATGTAGTTCAATCGGGCTGGAGCCCTAGTAACCCACACTGAGTTCCTTGTTTTTGTTTGTCTATACAAGTGATTTGAATTGTTCTTTGTCACCTTTTAAATTAGCTTCAGACAACAACACGTCTGGATGACTTTTTTTTTCATGCATTTAAATGCTGACAAATTTGTTTGACCCCACTTGTTTGGGTGAAAATCTAGAGAGGGTTGTGTGAATGAAACCCCCCCCCGGAAAAACAAAGCTTGTCTATTCAAAAAAATCATTTGAGGAAACTATACTTTTAAGCAATGTAAAGAAAAGAAAGCATATCTACCATTTTATATGGCTAAAACAATGCTTTAACTGTATGCCTCTCAAATGTGGAGAAAAAAACACACACCTGACTGTAACCATATTGAGATGAATGAAGCATTGTTCTGGGACAGACACCAGAAAAAAAACTTCCACCTGACCAGATGTTAGACCAGTGATTGGATCAGGGATTTGTCTTAGTGGTTGCTGCATTCACTTGTTTTTTTCTGAAGCAATAAGTATTTGATCTTATTAAATGTATTGCATTGTGTTCTTCCTCCAGGGCGACACTAAAAACGTTCAATAGTCCTGAAAACCCAGAAAGCAAAGATGAAAGGAGGAAATTATTAAAACTTRCAACGGAAAACTGTTCTAATCAAACTGTCCTGAAATGGCTAAGAGGAAAKTCAGAGTCCAAGACTTTCATCAAACTGGTGGACATGTTTCATTTCCTGAAAAAGCACATCAGTGAGGAAGAAAAGAAGAACCATGACAACACTGTTGACATCACCTTTGTAGCTCATGGATCCATTGGAGAGTTCATGATCCCAGCCAGCTGTCTGCTGCCTTTGTCCTCCATCAGCGACGTGGTCCTGTATTCTCCCTGGAACTGTGTTTCTGGTGGTGGTGAGATCATATATGGTATCGCCACAGGACAAATAAAGCCTCAGCACAGAGTTTTCTACTGCACCAAAAGAGATGACTGTACACTTCCTGATGAGAAACATCGACCCATGAAGCTACCAGACCACTGGAACTCTATGAGGAAGACAGGAGATCAGATGGTCCCAAACATCACAGTTAGTCCTCTTCAACCAAAAGACGGTGTGTGGGAGAGTTTTGAGTCTCTCACTAAGAAATACGGTCCTGTAGGAAGAAACCGGATCGTCATCCCCTTCATTCTCCCAGGTGCAGAAACTGAGAGTGTCCCGTTCTCTGTGGTCACCTTGGCCCTGTCTCTGGTTCTGCTCCAGTCCAGGTTTAAAGCCACAGTCCATCTTAATGCCTGTCTAAGAGATAGATCTTCTGGACAAAAGTTAGACAGAAAGTATCTGGAGAAGCAGTATGCTTRTGCAGTYGATRACTCTGGAATGAAGTGTTTACCAGRTACTTTCAGTTATTCTATAATAGATTGGTTCAAGAGATTATTTCAATAAACGTTCTCCATGTGATCATAGCAGTTCTGCTCCAGYAMAACAGKTCAGGTTGTGTTGGATTGTCTTTTACAGTTTGATCATTAATGAAGAATTATTTCGTTTATACTGAAACTGCTGCACAGATTGTAACATGGACAGGTCCAGAYTGATATCCAAAAAATGAGACTTTGTCTTTGGTGAGAACATAACAGTCTCCAGGAACAAAACTCAACCCTAAAGACCAACTACCTCTTTTATGAAGATTATCATAGGGATTGCCACTCACCATGAGAAACGTTTCTTCAGCATCAAAGTGGAAATCCAAAAGCACTGATCCAATGATCCTGTTGGACAGATGAAGCCTTGTAGTATACTGATACTGATGCACGGTTTATAAAATAATCCAACTGATAATATCTATTACTCACAAAATCATTTAACTTACTACATTATTATTACTATTTTTTTTAGAATTTTCTGTTATGTTTTATAACATCAGTTGAGTGAATGTCACACAAACAAGGCTGGCCAAATACCTAAGTCAATCAAAAAAAAACTTATGTCTGATCCTTTTAAAGGGTTAAATTGAGCTTTAACAAAATAAATATTAACTTGTGGGAACAAAGTCAGAATCTCAGGAAACTAATCTGATCTTTTTGTTTTTAATAAAGAAAACTGAAATTTCATCAATAATATGAATACGATTTTCTTCTTATGGTTTTCCTCATATGTTGCTGTTAGGAATTATTTGCTCAGGTTTTCTCTTGTATTTTTCACCCTTTTTTTGTTATTTTGACCATCATGATGTTAGAGGTTTGAATTCTCTTTTACAAAAATGTCCTGACCAAAGTAAGCATCAAATCAATACAAAATTACAAAAAACCTTCAGCTGCCAGCAGGGGTCACCAGATGGTTTCYAATAATGTCACCTGCTGTAATAAAGCACAAATCTGCTTCAGTAATCTACAGCTGCTGCATATTACAGTAAACTCATTGGAGAAACTCAAGATTAAAAAACTAAAATCATAGRAATTAGACTTTGTTTTATTTAAAGTGGGGAATAATGACGAAAATTCAGACAAATTGTTGAACGGTGCAAATAAAGCTACTGCCTTAAAAGCCTTAAATGTTATGTTTAACTGCAACTTTATCTCCTGTAAACCTTCAAAGATACTGAATGCATTAAAAAAAGATTAAAACGCTGTGGTGTTAATTTTTTTCTGCATAAACTTCAGTGATGGACAACAGCTGAATCTACAAACCAAAGCATAAACAAATAAACACACCCTGTTTTTTTCTTCCACATCCACAAAAACAATCATTTACTTCTTCTATCATTTAGTTAAAGACATGGACAAATTTGTTTGTACCCTTTTGTTGCAGTAAGTAAARCCCACAAAAAGTCAATGGTTTGCCTTTAAAATGACAAAATTATTAAGACAAAAAATTGAAGAAAATAAATTCGATCGTTGTTGACGTTCTATTTCCAAGCAGTTAGCAGTTCCTGGGACTGCATTTACATTTGGTATCATTCAAAGGTTTAGGACATGTATGAAAAATAAGAACCAATGACAAAAGGACAGGAAGTCCAATGATTCAGTGTGTAAGTGGTGAGAAGACACTGGTAAAATCATAGGCATAATTTGTGAGGGGGTTAGGGGATTAGGACCCCACAATAATTGGATCCAGTCAATCCC